ATCTGGCCAGAAAACCCAATGTCAAATGTTTATTGGATTCAGTTAAAAATTAAACAAATTGCAAGGACTTAAAATTTCCATCTCACCTTGCTCTGGTACCATTGTTCGAGTTCCCTACGATTTTTGGCAATAACTCCCTCGTAGTGTTCCCTGATATCTTCCATGACCTTGTTTAGGTCTATGGAAGGAGGGGCATCACACTCCACGGAAATGCCGCCAGCCTTCGAGTTCCTGTGCATGCTCATTTCCTGTAGTCACATAAGGGGAATGGTTCAATCTGTTAATGCAAGAATTTTTATTAAACTTTCATTTAGTTTTTTGAATGAGTAATGTCTTGCTGTGCTGTATAGGTGTATGTTTTTGTGTCTCTGTTAGTCAAACTGAAGCAATGGGCCAATGTAGCAAGGAAACAAGACTTTTTGAATGTAAAGAGATAGGATGACAGGACAGTAAATAACCAAATGAGGCGCAAGTGTTCTTTTAAATATATAGTATCATAATTTTCTGTGGTTCTATACAAGGCTATTTGTAATATCTTTTTTACATGACAGCAGACATTTTACTCTTTAGCTTTGTAACAGCTCAATTCAATTCAGTTTATTTGTATAGCGCCAAATTCACAACACAAGTCATCTCAAGGCACTTTACAGTTCAACCTGATCATACATTCAAATTGATACAAAGTGTTCTTTCTAAGGAAAACCACTTGATTGCATTGACTCATTGATTCAAATACAGTCCCTCACAGTTCTAATTGTGTACTGTCTCTTTAAGATTCTGGTATAAGGGTCTGGTATTGCTACGCACCACTGCTTCTCTGTAAAAAGCGCGGGAGACGTGATGCAGAGAGATACATGTAATCAGACGGACATATAAATTACCTAGTTTCTTTGTAAATTTTACGGGTTGTTTGGACTCTGCTCATATGTCATGTGTGGGAATATAGCAGCCGTTAACAGGGCTTTTGTAAGGTTGGTGAAGAGTGTGTTTTATTAAAGGACAACACCATAGAAAGCGTTATAGTTTGTTATTGTAAATGATCGCTAACAATGATTATGATGATTTTGAACCCAGTTTTATTCATCATCAAAAATTATTTTTTTGGCTCTCTGAAGATTTGATTTTCTCTGCTGCCTTACCTCCTCGTGGTTCTTCTTAAGCATGATGAGCTCATCCTTCAGTGACTCGTACTGACCCTCCATATCCATTTTTACCAGATTAAGATCATCAAAGACCTTCTTCAATCCAGCGATGTCAGCCTCCACAGCCTGCTTCATGCTCAGCTCGTACTCGTACCTGAGAAGATTTGTNATGCGAACAATATGAAAAAAATCTGTATATGCATTTAACAAATACACATGCAATGTTTTTTCAACTGCAGGATCTTTATTGAATTTACTGACTCTTCTGATTTATTTTCACTTGATCTGATTCACATCAACATCAACACTCTTGGAGGAGTCCACCTTTTTTCCATTCACATAGATCTCTTCCACAGTGATGGTCTTTGTAACCACTAAAAAAGGAAAACAAATGGATTTATAATAACTTGTTTTTCTACAAAGGGGAAATATTTTATTGATGTTAAAAAATAAAAATGTGTCTTACCTTGCCTTGAGCTTTCACTGGAATTGCTGAAAAGAGAAAAGTTATAGGTTAGTTATATATTTTACTCGTAATGTTCTCATTATTTCGTCTGCTTGTTTATACATCTTGACCAGCTCTCACCTGGCAATCTCCCCTTCTAGCAGCCTCCTGTACTCTACAATCTCTGCCTCCAGACGGGTCTTGAGATCCAGAAGCGTGCCGTACTTCAGTTGCATTTCAGTGATGCTGTTGGTGATATTTAAAATCTGAGCCTCCCAGCCTTTGATCACGGCCTGGTGACCTGCTAGCTGGGCTGCATAGCGTTCGTTAGTCTCTCGCACAGTTGCTTCCAGAGAATATTTCTGTTTTGGAGGATGAAAGGGTTTTGCTTTGTGTTTTGAGGGGTTTATTTTTTCATTTTTGTAAAAAAAAAAAACACAAATAAGTGAGAGGTAAGACATACCATACTCGAATGGGACTGAAGCTCAATTTTAAGTCTCTGCAAGGTACTTTTCAGTTCTTTAATCTCAAGGCGGGATGCCCCAAGGCTGGATGAATTGTCCTCTGCAACCTTCTCCACCACCGTTATCTGGCCAGAAAACCCAATGTCAAATGTTTATTGGATTCAGTTAAAAATTAAACAAATTGCAAGGACTTAAAATTTCCATCTCACCTTGCTCTGGTACCATTGTTCGAGTTCCCTACGATTCTTGGCAATAACTCCCTCGTAGTGTTCCCTGATCTCTTCCATGACCTTGTTTAGGTCTATGGAAGGAGGGGCATCACACTCCACGGAAATGCCGCCAGCCTTCGAGTTCCTGTGCATGCTCATTTCCTGTAGTCACATAAGGGGAATGGTTCAATCCGTTAATGCAAGAATTTTTAGTAAACTTTCATTTCTTTTTTTGAATGACTAATGTCTTGCTGTGCTGTATAGGGAGTGTTCATAAGGTTTTGATGTTTTTGTTTCTATTTTGAACGCATCTGTCCTATAATAGCTTATGAAACTTGGCCACCGGGTAACAACTAATCAGACTCCACTTTTCTCTCCAGTTAAATTATCGTTTGTTCACAGGTAACACTCAGGAGACTACAGCAACATTTTTTTCTGTCTAAGTATGGACTTTCACATCTTCTTTCCAGAAGGGTTCATGCGTCCATGGGACTATATTCTTGCTCTTTCATTGTCTGGTTAATTGAAGAAATAGTGACTTACTGAGTTCCCTGTTTTAAACTGTTTAATTAGTTTGTTTTTGACAGATTAATAATTATTTTCATTATATCTATCCTTGAAAATTTGTTGATGTAGCTTAATTGCTTCTATTTTGGTCACTTTATGTTACCTAAGCTGTTCTTGTGATGCATTTAAAGACCATTGGAAAGTTTAAATTTCCTGTTATTTCCCCCTGTATCCAATGGGGCGTTTAAGTACTGTTGGAATTTACTGTATTTGTAATTAAGAGAGATAGCCATGTTTTCTCTTTATTTGACCCTTAAGTTTATAGACTGTTTTATGTTTTTGTGTCTGTGCTAGATAAAATGAAGCAATAGGCCAATATATCAAGGAAAATAGGCTTTGGAATGTAAAAAGATGTACTGTAATGACAGCAAAGTGAAAAACCAAATATGGCGGAAGTGTTCTTATGACTATAAAATAGCATAATTTCTGTGGTTCTTTAGAAGACTCTTTATATCATCTTTTTTGATGACAGCAGAAAACTATGATTAGGATGATTTTGAACTCAGTTTTTTTTTATTACCAAAGAGTATTTTTTGGCTCTCTGCAGACTTGGTATGGACAAACAGGACTTTTTTCAGGGTCTCTTGATTTTCTCTGCTGCCTTACCTCCTCGTGGTTCTTCTTAAGCATGATGAGTTCATCCTTCAGTGACTCGTACTGACTCTCCAAATCCATTTTTACCAGATTAAGATCATCAAAGATCTTCTTCAATCCAGCGATGTCAGCCTCCACAGCCTGCTTCATGCTCAGCTCGTTCTCGTACCTGAGAAGATTTGTCAAGAGAAGGTAGAACAGGTCGGAGACTCTTAAAGGGCCCNACCTTGCTCTGGTACCATTGTTCGAGTTCCCTACGATTCTTGGCAATAACTCCCTCGTAGTGTTCCCTGATCTCTTCCATGACCTTGTTTAGGTCTATGGAAGGAGGGCCATCAAACTCCACGGAAATGCCGCCAGCCTTCGAGTTCCTGTGCATGCTCATTTCCTGTAGTCACATAAGGGGAATGGTTCAATCCGTTAATGCAAGAATTTTTAGTAAACTTTCATTTCTTTTTTTGAATGACTAATGTCTTGCTGTGCTGTATAGGGAGTGTTCATAAGGTTTTGATGTTTTTGTTTCTATTTTGAACGCATCTGTCCTATAATAGCTTATGAAACTTGGCCACCGGGTAACAACTAATCAGACTCCACTTTTCTCTCCAGTTAAATTATCGTTTGTTCACAGGTAACACTCAGGAGACTACAGCAACATTTTTTTCTGTCTAAGTATGGACTTTCACATCTTCTTTCCAGAAGGGTTCATGCGTCCATGGGACTATATTCTTGCTCTTTCATTGTCTGGTTAATTGAAGAAATAGTGACTTACTGAGTTCCCTGTTTTAAACTGTTTAATTAGTTTGTTTTTGACAGATTAATAATTATTTTCATTATATCTATCCTTGAAAATTTGTTGATGTAGCTTAATTGCTTCTATTTTGGTCACTTTATGTTACCTAAGCTGTTCTTGTGATGCATTTAAAGACCATTGGAAAGTTTAAATTTCCTGTTATTTCCCCCTGTATCCAATGGGGCGTTTAAGTACTGTTGGAATTTACTGTATTTGTAATTAAGAGAGATAGCCATGTTTTCTCTTTATTTGACCCTTAAGTTTATAGACTGTTTTATGTTTTTGTGTCTGTGCTAGATAAAATGAAGCAATAGGCCAATATATCAAGGAAAATAGGCTTTGGAATGTAAAAAGATGTACTGTAATGACAGCAAAGTGAAAAACCAAATATGGCGGAAGTGTTCTTATGACTATAAAATAGCATAATTTCTGTGGTTCTTTAGAAGACTCTTTATATCATCTTTTTTGATGACAGCAGAAAACTATGATTAGGATGATTTTGAACTCAGTTTTTTTTTATTACCAAAGAGTATTTTTTGGCTCTCTGCAGACTTGGTATGGACAAACAGGACTTTTTTCAGGGTCTCTTGATTTTCTCTGCTGCCTTACCTCCTCGTGGTTCTTCTTAAGCATGATGAGTTCATCCTTCAGTGACTCGTACTGACTCTCCAAATCCATTTTTACCAGATTAAGATCATCAAAGATCTTCTTCAATCCAGCGATGTCAGCCTCCACAGCCTGCTTCATGCTCAGCTCGTTCTCGTACCTGAGAAGATTTGTCAAGAGAAGGTAGAACAGGTCGGAGACTCTTAAAGGGCCCTTTGAGAGCTTGAGAAAAAAGATAAAATAGATACCAAGGAGCAAATACTAAGATAATTCACTCACTTTGTTTTAAAATCATCAGCAGCCAGTTTTGAATTGTCAATCTCCAAGTAGAGCTTGGCATTGAATGTAGTAGCATCTCGGATCTGAAGAAGAAAGACAAATTTGTAAAAAAAAAATAATAAAAATAAAAAACTATTGTTTTGGATTTCTTTTTACATATTATGGTTAAACGGCAATTAATAGAAAATGTGTACATTTCTAAATGAATCATGTTAAAAACATTCACCCTTGTTAGAAGTAACCTTTTGAGTCTTTTCCCTCCTACCTTATTCTGCAGGTCAGCGATGGTGGCGAAGTAGCTGCTGTAATCACGGGTGATCACAGTTTTACTTGAGTACCATTCTTTGATCTGCTTTTCGAGTCGCTCATTCTCCTTTTCCATTGAATGGACTTTCTGAATGTAGGAGGCCAGACGGTCATTCAAATTCTGGAGCATGAACTTCTCGTTGGCATCAACATGGAGGTCAAGTCCATCAGTGAGACCGAAGCCATT